ACCCCAAACAAATTTAAAGAAAAGCACAGGGTTCATTTTGAATTACTTAATGGACATTTCCAAAATCTGTGTTACTGCACAATGCTTATTTTATTCACTAACAACTCCACCCTCAAGTACGCTTAGATGGAAGGGAACTGAGGCCATTACTCATGAAAGCTAAGGTTCACATCCATGCAGTTTAAGTGAGTGATAACTTAAAAGATTAATTCTTTCAAGCATAATGCATTCTTTAGAAGTTAGTATATTAAAAAAAAAAAGAGAGAAACCTAAGAGGTGTGTAAAATTGGTATTTTGCACATTCCTCTTAACAAATACCCAGTTAAAAATACACTGGTTGAAAAACATCAAAGAAAGTCGCAGGCTTAACCCCGGGACTGCAGTATCAGCAAAGCTTCCTTTCAGCTCTCAGATATTTTTCCTACAAGGAAAACTAACACAGATAAAAGCAGTGCCCCCTGTATCCTCACCTTAAGCCCCTACCCCACAGTTACCCCAGCTCTTCCAGCACATCACACTGCATGTGCCCTCTGTGCTCTCACTTTGTGTTCCCCAGCTCCTCAGCTCCAGCTCATTGAGCCCACACCTGCAGTGACTTAACTGGGGTTTCTTTGGCTTTTAACCAACCCCAAAGCATCTAAACTGTTGCTCTTCACCCTACCCTTAAAAAATGTCTCATCATCAGAGCTTTTACTGCTTATGTCAGTGTTCCGTGGTGGCTGGATTTCCCTATCCTCATTTATTTTTTAAGCCAAGGGTGTTGGGCCTGACACTCCCAAAGAATAAAGCAGCTTATACCTGTGTTTAGGTATATACTTATAGAAATTTAAAGCTAGATAAGCAAACTTGTCCCACTGTTTCTACTGGCAGGTTAGATTTTATGTCCTCCATAGAATGATTTTCTAGTGGAGGATTTGACTCCCCCAGGCAGYTTAGGCCTGGACTCAGGCTACCTCAAGTTGGGTTAGTGGAGGTTGAAGACACTCGGGCTCCTCTTGAGCTTAAAGAGCAGGTATGAGAGCAGTGGTGGAGAGGCAGGAGGATGATGTGGCAGGTGTCCTGCCACAGTGTACCAGTTACTTCATTTCTAGGTGGGCTAATTATGATCCAAGATCTCACTCCTCCAATGGTCACCATCAGAGAGAGCTGGTAGGATCGTGATTCTCTGCTGGAGGGCAGGTTTCAGGCAGGATGTACATCCTAACGCCCCTTAAATCCTGAGAGCCACTATTTCTGGGAGTCAGTTCTGTGATAGGTTCTCCCTATTTCCTATCAAGTGCTGCTGACCTTCACACACAGGGAGCTGCTTGCAGAGCTCCATCCATGTTCCATCCAGTGTAAACTGCTCGGATGACTTATGAGGAGAAATCTTGTAAGAAATGTAGTTTCAGCAGCATTTTTAGGACCTTTTGCTTCACTGACAGTTTGGCAAACATGTATCACAATGTTGGTGCCAAAATTCCTGCCAGTGATCAACAGATCATAATAGCAAGCTTTGATAATGTCCAAAACAAAGGTCCACAGAACATTTTTCTAATTTATTATTAACCTGCTGTTAAAAAAATGACTTCGAACTAACAGTTGAACTAACTACTTTGTACAATGCCAAGTCCACAACCTACTCGTAACACCTGAAAATAAATTAGACCTTGTGRCGATCTAAAAAAAGGATATTTATTATTGCATCCCTGGGAGAACTGGGAAAGTAATTTGGTTATAAAAACACCACAGATCTTGTGCACCATGTAATCAGTCACGTTTTTTACACTGGCTTTCCTCACGTATGAGTTAAGAAAGACACTGTTAAGCAGTAAGGTAGAACTCTGCTGTGTGATACGTGCAGCTATAACCCGTCCACTTGCTCTTCCATCCCGCCTGGTTTGTCTTATTTTCTTTGTTATTTTCCAGGCAGTTAAATATAGCTATGCTTATGCAAAGTGTGTGTTGTTTCTTATCATATAGGTAACAGAATATGTCACATAATGTTTAAGCAAGTACCTGAAGGGATCAAGTTAGACAAAAATGCAAGCAAAAATGACGTGGGGATGAGGACAGGATAAGCACAGACAGCTAAACTGCAGCGACTGAAAGGTTTATTGCTCCTTGGATAAAGCAACTATAGTTTTCCTGGTAGCTTTCAAACGAATAGTATCTCCTAGATTTGATTTTATATCCTAGCTTTGAGCAGTTTGTAAGCAATATTTGCAAGAGTGAAGACCAGCGAGTGTCTTCTTCCTTATCCATCAGAGACAGAAACAAGCACAGAGGCATGGGAAGCTGAGATAGTTTGACTTTGTATTTATTGAGGCTTTGTACACCTGCTAGGAGAGGCTTGGCCTGAGCAGGGCAGTTAGGAACCTAAGGCATCCGCTGTTTGCACAGGCTGGCCAGCTGGAAAGACCACACAATATTGGCATTTCTCGCCTCTTGGAAGGTTCCCTCAGGCATCCTGATGCTCCAGCCAAACTGCTTGGCAGGGTCCTGAGCCCTGGTGCTGTTTCGCTCAATTCTGTAGCCTCCTAGTAACCACGGGCAGAAGGAATATAGCAGGAAAGGGCCTTCTGGACTCCCAGGTGGGGGGCTTGTAAGAAACTGAGCTGCTCTTCCAGTACATGTGGAGAAGGGGGCGTCCCACCTCTGACACAGGGGGCTCGTGTGCAAGGAGTGAGGCTGGAAAACAGGCTGTTTGGCAGGTTTAGGAGGCCTTGCAGCACRGAATTGGGGATTCTTGTGAGAAAACTTCAACAAACAAGGTCTGTGCCAGACAGGGAACAGAGCCTGCTGGAGCTACACTACGTAGTATTTCATATTTGCACATTTAATTTAACTGAGCCATYTCCAAGGATCCTCTGTAATTGTTCAGGTCTTCTCTGTTAAGGTGCTGGGGAGACACTCAGAGGTCACGTTCCCTGTGCACATGTTTCAGGAATTATGTCACTTACCARCTTCTGTCTCAAAAGCAGAAAGTACTGCTCTAAATTTGCTAAACAGGTCTCTACGCGGCCATACCACGAGACAGAGCTGGGTGGGTTTGTTCAGCAACAGGGCCCCTTGCAGGAGAGAAGAAGCTGCTCCTCAGGCACAAGTAGAGCCTGGAGTTATCCCGATCACAGCCATCACACCGCGTTGGCCAGGGCAAAAATACTAACTGCCATCAAACACTTCGGTAGATCAGGAAACAAAAAGGAAAAAACAGTAATAGTTATTTTTATAATATTTTAATTTTAATTAATAAATTATTTTGTATTAAAATATTTTTTTTGTATTTACAGAAATACTCCCATTTATTTATCATACTATTTATTATGCTTCTCCTTTTCTTCCATATGCTTGGTAATGGGACTCTATGGAACTGAACATTTTGCAAGTCACCGGTGCCAGCTCTTTACAGACAGACTATCCTGGACAGATCTCTTCATTTCCATTTCATTTTGTCTTTTCTGTGGCTGATACGCTTTGTTATTTAAACGAAGGCTTTTGAACCCATTTTTTTAATGCTAATGTATGCTGCTTCCCTATCAAAAGCATCCACACTGTGTTCTTCCTGTGAAAGGCGGGATAAAGAGCAACACTCTCAAGACAGAAGGTAGGTTGCAATGTTACCCGTCTGTGAATTTAAGTTAAAAAAAGGAAGAGCTGCACAATGGTGAAGGATCAAAACATGGGCCAAATCTTCCTGCTACCTAAGACATGATTAAAACAGTATTTTATCTCTTGGAGCACAGCCAAGATAGGGAAGGGGCCAGGACACAGCAGACTGGTCACATTTGCTGTGTCCGGGCACCAGGCGAGCACGCACAGAGGTGCCAGACACCAAATACCTCCAACAATTTTAAGCTGCTCTATCCAGTCCCTCATTTCGTATCATTTTATCACTCATTTTAGTTCAGAAGTTGTTTTCCTCTCATTTCTATTTTTATTTTTGTGCAAGCTGCCTAACCATGGCCTGAAATTTCAGGTGTTGTAGGGAGGAAATGAGGAGGAGGAAGAGAAAAGAATGGATGTCGAGGTCCCTATGTGAATAGTTTTTGCAGCCTTCACTGGGGATCTCAACACTGCCTACCCCAAGAGTCCAAGGTGAAGATTCAGGCTCCTCCAAAACATCCTATTGTCTTGATTATGATAACTGAAAAAAGAAATAAGAATTTCATCCACCTTCCTAGTTCCTTCAGCAGATATTTTATTCATGTTTTCAAGTTTTTCTTTACTTGCAATGTCTAGAAATGAAATTAATAACAGAACATGAACTCAGAAGTTCTCCAGTGACGTGACTTCTGGAGCTGGAGCTTTAGGTAACCACAGAATATTGCAAGATCTGAAGAAAAAAGAAAGAAAGAAATCCACCCCACCTCCCTCCTCCAAACAGAAGAGCTGCAAACACCTGAGTTACTTCCCTATTTGCTCTCTGTCAGAGCAAGAGGCATGTGATGCTGCAGCATGTGGACTATCTCAGTCCTTCCTTTTCCCATTGGACAGTGACCCATCTCAAAAAAAAGTCTCATTTGTGCCCATTTCACACCCTCGCCAGCAATATTAGCAGCGAGGCTGAACTCCCCGCTCAGTCACAGCAGGAGCTGCCCTCGCTCCATGTGAGCAGCGGCTCTTCCAGCTCCGCAGGCTGTTCCCGGAATACTGCAGACTCCAAGAGCTGCTCCCTGTGCAAGAGCAGCTTTATGGATGAGGAGACAACTGCAGCCTGCCAGGTGACAATTTGGCATCCTTTTGTCAGTGCTAAAATTCCTACCGCCGTAAATATTTATTGCAAATGAAATATAGTCCAATCCTCCAGCTAGCACGTTGCCATATGAATAAATCCAACATTAAATAAATCACATGCTCTCCACCTTTTATTCAGTTTAGGAAAGTCTTAATTCTTTCTGTGAGCATTCTTAGCTTCATAGGGCTGTTCAGAAGGGGAGTGATTCATGGCATGCCTTGATTTGTTTTGCAATGCAACATTTTGCTTCTTACATTTCACCTCCGACAGCTTTCGCAAAGTTGTGATTTGATAGGACAAGAGCAGCGAGGGCACTAGGACCAAGGGAAAGAGCACACATTGCTCTGTATTATGTCTGGCAAAGTGCTTCCTGACTGAGTGCTGCAGTTATGTGTGAAACAAAGTCAGGGACTGACTAGTTCTCATCTGTTGATCACCGCTAACTTGAAGCCTCRGAACAGGGGGAAGCTGCCAGATCTGCTCTCCGAGATAAGGCGCTCGGACCCAGGCAGCAACTGGAAACTTTGCAGGAGCAGGAAACACTCTGGAAGGAAACTCTAAGAAATGGAATTGCTTTTTACTTAGAATTATAAGAGGAAAAAATCAGAACTTGAGCTACATTTTTTTCTCAACAGCAAAACATGTTCTTCTCCAGCTAGGCTGGGATTCTGCCTAATAAAAGGATCTACTTTATCTCACCGGATCCATGCTCTCTTTTATTACAGTAAGTGCAACATTTATAGGCATTTTCTACTTTGTCTGCAAATAGAGAAGAAAGCCTGAAACAGCATCAGTGAAATGTGAGGGGGGAACAAAAAAGAAAATCTTCTTGGCAGATAGCGAAAAGCAGCGCTCTGCCGCAACCCGAGCACTGGAAACCGAGAAGTGATATTTAACATGACCATCTGTACCATTTTGTCACCAGCAGCATGTTCCTGAGGAAGAAATGCAGATACGGCTCCCGTAAGCTGCACTTTCTGCTGCTGCTGCTGCTGCTGGGCTTCTTGCTGCTCATGGTCACAACGCTGAGCCCGCCGCCCGGCAGCGTGCGCCAGGACGGGGCTTCGCCGCGCGTGGAGCCGAGCCACGGCGAAGGGCACGCGGGCGGCTTTGCGGAGCCCCAGGAGATGCTGGAGGCGCAGGACGAGGGCCAGCAGGACTACCCCGTGGAGGGGCTCTCGCCCTTCATCTCCCTGCGGGAGGACGAGCTCATCGCGGCCGCCGTGTGGCCGGCCGGCCGGAGGGAGCACAGCAGGGCCAGGAAGGGCTACCGCGTGCTGCGGCGGCCGAGCCGGCGGCCGCAGGGCTCGCCGCTCGCCGCCCCGGCGCCCCACGAGCGGCGTCTCGGCCGGGACACGCGCGGCTCCCACGAGGCGCTCGGCGAGCGGCTCCCGCTGCGCAGGGAGCTGCCTGAGGTACGACACCCGTTGTAAGTAAAGCAGCCGGATTAATCCCCGCGGGAAAGCGCTACCTTTCCCGTCGCTGCCYCCCCCTCCTCCGCCCCGAGCGAGCCCCTCCTCCGCCGAAACCTGCCTCTTCCCTATCCAACCGTCTCCTTCAGCTTGGGAAGAAACGGGCTTTCTTTACAGGAACGCATCCCTCTTGTGCAAACCCCGGGATTTTCCCAGCCCCCCTCCAGTAACGCCGGCTGTGAGAGTGCAGGGAGCCCGAGGCATCCCGGGCAGCTCCCACGCGTGTCCCGCCGGCTCCTCCCGGGCAAACGGCTTCCCAAATATTCCCATTCCCGCCCCCGAGGTCCCCCCCCTCCGAGACCACAGCAGGTGCTCCAGGAGGAGCCGCAGGCAACCCCGCGCGCCTCCTCCTCTCCATAGGCGCTGCAAGAGCCCGGCGGTGAGACCCAAACGGCAAAAAAATAAGACGCGATCTCCCTTCTCTCAGGGGCTCTCACGTCCCCAAAATGGAGAGGGCGGCCCGGGAGGGAAAAGGGGGGCAGCGGGAAAGGAAGGGGGAGCGGCTGCGGGGTGGG